CAATGCTGGAAAGGCCATAGCCCGAAACGCTTTATTGCTCACTAACGAATATATTGCAAACTAATATTCAATAATAAAAAATGTATATACAACGTATTTAGCAAACTAAGACTAGATTGATTTACTTTATGTAACACTGGCTTGTACTACTGCAATCACTATTAACACCTGGCAAAATTAAAAAATCACTATTTTGTCGAACATGAATAGACGGCAATTAAAATGTTCATTCCATTTCCCCTGGTTCCCTGCACTGCGCAAACAAAAAGTTGCTGACTTCATAATTAACTTTCTTGAGTTCAAATCTCAATCTTCAAATCTCATTAATGCATCCTAACTATTGTACAAAATATTTGTACCTGTTTTTGGTATTTGTCAAACTACTGTATATAAAATCTAGTGTCTACTCAACAATAAAAAATGGGAAATACAAAATTGGCAATAAATTTAAGTGTATTATTAACGTCAATAAATAATCCTTCATGGGGCACAAAGCAGAATAAAAAGCTATCGTCTTTTGCCCCTACTCCTTCTCACTTGAACCCTAAGAACAAAGTAGGCACTAATCCTGATGGCGACTATCAAGCCGCCTAAGAATATCACAGCTAACGAGTAAGTCGACTTTGCCATGTCCATGTTGCTGAGGAACTTTTCCGGACGGGAATAGTGGCAATATTCGGAGTTGCAAGGAAGTTTGGGTCGATCGTACCCAAACACTGAGAGCACCATGCCTTCAAACCCATACTTCAGGAAGGAAATGTGGAAGAGCCAACGCATCGATGGATGGCAGGCATTCAACTGCACAAAAAAGCCGGAAAATATGGTGAACGGCAACATACAGAACGGTCCAAAAATCACGCCATTCTGAAAAACAGTTTCATTTAACAGCATTTAACCGGTGGAAGATGAAAGATGCAACATACCTTCACGTCCATGCATGCTCCAATAAATAATCCGAAACTTTGAGCAACTAATGAAATCAGCACACACATGAATAGGAAGGAGACTATTCTGAACGATTCAACCGGTTGCTTGGTCAGAAAATATGTGACGGATCCGTAAAGAAGGGTGGCGCAAATCTGCAAACAATTCATGTAAACCGTTAATAAGCTGTTAATTTAACTGAAAATACCTGCACTGGAATGTCTGCAAACGTGAGTGCCAAATAGTACGATTTGAGCGAATACCATTTGTTGAAATACTCTCGGGTTATTATTGGAAGCTCAGAAGGAACTAAAAAGCCGAAAGCTAGTGGAATGTGAAAACTGCTGAAAAAAGTTACGTACATGTAGTTGTAACACAGTTAAACGAAGTGAGCATGAGAAACATTGCACTGAAAAACATGAATTTGAAATTGTCGTACATGTCCCCTGCTTCTGATCCTATTCCATAGTAGAGAATACCTGAAAGAAGTTAGTTCTAGTTCAACTTCAATTGAATCTACTGCCAAATACCTATGAAAATTGCGATGCAGAAATGCGTCAACAGCCTATTATAGGTCAGCGTTTTGTCTCTCGATATGACCAAAAAAGTCCTTTTCAACAGCACAAGTAGCTGATGGCCAAAGCTGGTCGAATAAGTGTTCGGGGTGTCTTTTATACAAGTAAGTTGTACAGGAGGTTGTGTTACTACGGGTGTTTGGTATATTTCACGCAGCCCTGAAAAAACTCAACCTTGACTTATCGGTTAATTAAAGTTTCACAGTCTTACCATTTTTGGCCGAGTAGGGAATTTCGCTCCGCCATCGCTGGCTCAAGCCGTTCTTGGATTTTTGAATTAGAATCTGGCTGTAGTCGCCGTGGTCGCCACTAATTACCTCCAATACTAAAAGGCGACAAATATGGTCAAAAACCTGTCGATTGATTGCATTTTTGCTGCAGCTGGACACTTACAAAAGTCGGACGGATTGTGGAATGTTGGGCAAGTTAAGTGGACTTCGCTCAAGTAAGGCAAGAGTGCGTTAACTGATCCTTGGTACATGCAGGAACCATTAGCTACCACATAAACGTGATGAAACAAATCCAATATAGATGCACTGGGCTGATGAATCGTACAAATAACAGTCCGATTTAAAGACGCCAATTCCTTAAGTAGTGTTATGCATTGTTTTGAGGCCACTATATCCAATCCGCTGCAAAAAATGGGAAAATCTGCAGTTGTGTAAGCAACATACAATCAACAATTATCACGTTAACAAAATACTCATCTTAAAGATCATCCCTCTACCGACACCTTTTCTTAGTGTCGTCTCTTGTGGAACTTTTCACTTTTTGAAATTTACTACTAGCCATAAGCTGACAGGACGCCTTGACGTTTATTCTGTTTGAGCCGCCGTTGTCATAGCAACATAGTTCGAAAAACAATTGAGAACGCATTTTTCGCGAGTTCAAAAGTAGTCCGGTCAGATTAGACTTTAAAAGACGTATTTCGGGCACTAAATAGATGAAGGTAAAAGATTATCGAAAGTGGTTCGGAAGAATGTCAGAATATATTATATAAATTGGGACAATAGTTTGTGCGCGAATTCCGGCAGGGGAACATTGTTTAAATAATTAAAGAATGTGCGAAAAATGTTTTTTGCGCATAACTTTTGAACCGTTGACGCTATTGAAAAAAGTTTATGAAATACTTTTAATTGAAAAAAAGTTTAAACTTTTTTTCTAGTATTAAAAATACATACAATATACGAAAATTAATTATAGGAAATTTAATTAAATGTGTGTTCTTTTTGTGTTCTTTTTAATCATACCTACTAACTTCTACTACTCTATGTAAAAATACCGAAATAAAATACACCCCGTGTTTTTGTTTTATTATTCGCTTGTAGCGAACTCCGGATATAACGAACCAGTTTTAGTTCATTTTTCAAGTTCGTTATATCCGGACTCAACTGTATTTTTAATACTTGAAAAAAAGTATCAAACTTTTTTTAAAAGCATCTATTTAGTGGCCGGAAAAAAATCTAATCCGACCGGACTAAAGTCCAATCGCCTACTGGCGGATAAATTATACCTACCCTTTGACTAGGCAAATTTGACACCACAAAAAACGCTCTGTTTGGTGATGTCTAGTGGTTGGTAAGTTCGCCAGCGGTGCAGCACGTTTAAGGCTTTTTCTTTGGTTTTACTGATGATACTATATAAGACAGAAGCCGTTTGCGTTGTTTTAATGGAAGGATTGAACGAAGTGGCAACATGTTTTCTTCTTGTAAGAATGACTTTTGTTCCTTTATGTATGACAGGACGGACGAAACCATGTAAGTTAGTTTTTTAGCCTTCTTTGCAGACTGATTTTTCATGCAATTTGGTAGTTTAATTTTGCATACTTTGATTTTTGGTCGAAATTTTTCCAAAAGTAGGGTCCAATTTTTTGAAAAAATTGATATTTTTTCAAAATGTCTTAAATTTTACATCATTTCTAGCCCACGGAATCGAACTCATTAAAAAGCATGGTAGAAGTTTCAGATCCGAAATAATAGAAATTTTAAGCGTTTTTTGAGCGTTCACGATGTTTAGCCGACGATTTCTTCCTTATTATTGACACAAACACTTTATAAATGCATATTTCT